GAGTGGGGGGATTAGGGTTAGAGGGGTGGGCAGGACTGGAGAAAGCCTGTGGTTTTGCTCAGGGCAGAGGAGAAGAGCTGGAGGAAACTGGTTCTCAGTGGAGGCTTGTTTGCTCTTCAGAACAGTATCATGATACATTTTACATAGATACATAAAATTATATGTATGACATGAAAACAGAAGTAAAGCTGTGTGGGGGGACAGAGCGGACTGACGGGCGATGGGAACAACAAGCTAAAGAAGGAAGGGAAACTGAGGGAGGATAGACTCACTATACTGCACACACATGGATGGAAGCTTAGAAAGCTGACTACAATGGCTACTTTATGTCACAAGAGTTCACTGTTAAAAATATTACACCTCACCTACCCAGGGCTCAGGGACCATTGCAGAAGAGGGTGTGGAAAGACTGTAAGAGCCAGAGGTGGTACATGACCATAAGGAAACAGTTTTTACAGGTCTCTGGGAACTTGCTCATAAGAGCTTATATACAAGGCCCATGCAAACTCAATCAGACAAAAAAAAAAAAAAACCAGCATACTGGGGAAATGGGTAAGAAGTCCCAGCCTTAGCTGAAGAACTATTGGCAGCTGATGGCTGCTGGGTGAGAGTTGATATTCTTTAGGGTGATGCTAGACAGGCTGACCAAGCTCCAATGGATGAATTCACACTGAGAGACATCTGGGTACAGAGCCTTGACTCCATAGGCCTTAACATATAGGACAGAATGCATGAAATCCTGTGTATGGGCTATAGGGGGTCCAGATAGGGAAGGGGTCTAAATACAATTAAGATGTGTTGTATGATATGCACAAAAATTCAATAAAAATATGCACTGAAAACTCTGGCCCTCTGTGAGAGCAGTAAACACTCTTAACCATTGGTCCATCTCTCCAGTACCCACATTTTAAATTTAATGTAAAAAAGCAAATACGTTTTCTGTGATCATAGAATTAGGTATTAGGTAGCAATAGTGTGTAAGAAAGGAATGTAAAATTCTATTTTAAAATCCATCTGTTTCCTAGTCATATATAAGCAGCAAATCCACAATTCTAATTTGTTTTTTTTAATTTATTCATTTTATTTTATGTGTATGCGTGTATTGCCTGCGTATAGGTAAGTGCACCCGTGTCATGCAATGCCCACAGAGGACAGAAGAGGCTGTCAGATCCCCTGGAACTGGAGTTACGGACAGCTTTTAGCTGCCATGTGGGTGCTAGGATATGAACCCAGGTCTTCTGCAAGAACAACCAGTGTTCTTAACCACTGAGCCATCTCTTCAGCCCCCTAATTTGTTTTTTAGAAAATCAAATGTAATGGTGTTTAAATTAGTCAAATGTAATAAAAATCAATGGAAAAATAATCCAATATAATTAATATGATAAAGAAAATTGGGCACTGGTTGGTGATTCAGTCTTGTGATCCCGGCATTTGGGAGGCTGACGCAGGAGTGTTACAAGAAGCCCCAGATCAGCCTGGGTTACAGAGCAAGACCCTGTCTCAAAAAAACAAAAATTTCAAAACAAAACAAAACAAAAAACTGGGCAACAGAAACTACTGGTTTTTTATGGCTAGAAGCCATGATGCTGCTCAACATCAACAGTGCAAGGACAGCACCCCACACAGATGAAGGGGGCCACACCCCAGCCCCTCACTGGGGGACTCTAGGCAGGGTCTCCACCACTGAGCCACACCCCAGCCACTCACTGGAGGATCCTAGGAAAACACTTTAGTATTTAGCTACATCCCCAATCCTTATATTTCGAGACAGGGTCTCACTCCAAAGCTCGGGGTATTATCAAACTCAAGTCCTCCTGCCTTCTCCAGATGCTTAGATTTCAGCGTGTTCCATCATGACTGGTTTAGGAAGCTCCCTTTTCAGGTGGTATGGGTGGGCGATGGGGGTGAGATGGGGTTCTAATGAAGCCCAGAGGCTGGGAAGAGGCTATTGCTATGATGTTCAGGTAAGGGGTCAAGACTTGGACCTGGGTGTGATAGAAACAGGGTGACAGATCAGGAGTGTATTCCTGGTGAGTGTGGATGGTGGGGAAGAGAGAGACATGGAACAAGACCCTGAAGCTGGAAATCGCCTTTATAATCCTCCTTTGCTAATTTTCACATCGGCATTTTTCTCTCTGAAAAAGAGATCTCTGTGTGTTGGGTCAGGGAGCTGGTAAAGCATAAGCATGCGGCTGCAAACTTAACAGTCAAATGACCATTAGCACTTGACCTTCGGCTGAGTGTCCTTTGATTAGGCTTCTCTCCAGAGCTGACCTTTGCTGGGAGCTCGCCATGTGTAGCAGACTGTGTGTGTAATTCCCAGAACAGAAAAACCAGTTATCTAAGTAGAGTTCTGCTCATTTTGCAGATGAGGAGAGGAAGTAGCAAGAGATCAAACTGTGAATCAGGGGCTTGAATCTTGAAAGCCTGCCTTCAAGAGTACATGACTGGCTGACATCTAAATTTACATCCCTTTACTTGGTCTCACTTTGTAGCCCAG